CCCCGGATCGTACATCTCTGTGTTGGACAGGTTGATTTTTAAGAGCTATAGGAAAATTTTAAAACAAAAGAGAAAAAAAAAAACAAACATAAAATTTAGAACAACTTTGTAGTCTTGAATTGGCAGTACCGTCCATGTAATTGAAGATTTATAGATGATTTCAGCAAATATTGACGGCGAGTGTGACTCAAATGGTCTAATCGCTTAGTTCTATTTTGACATATTCTTACCAACATTTCACCGCTATCAGACGGAAAATGATTGAATGTTGGCTTCAATTTGCCAATTGAGACGGGTCGTCGTCTGTATAGGCAGAAGCTTTAAAATAGCCCCACAAAATGTAGTCCAAAGAAATGTGAAATGAAAATTTCAAATAAAATCTTGACTAATTGCCTCTCATTAATTCCATTGTTACGCGTGTTGTGTGTCATGTGACAACGTCTTGTTGAAACCACACGTCATGCAAGTCAAGATCTTGAAATCTGGGCCAAAAAAGTTGGATATCGTCTCACGGTGAGCCCATTCACAGTTACCTTACGATGAAGAAGTACGTTCCCAAGTTTCCACTAGCCCATAAACAGCACATAACTGTGACTTTTTCAGGATGCATTGTTTGCTTCTTGCTGAGTCATTGAGTCAAAAATGTACTTCGTCGCAGAGCACAATTTTTCGATATAAAAAAAATGGATATTCGGCCAGCTTCCCATTAACAAAATGTTAAGCTTTGAAGTAGATCGGTCGGTTCAATTCTTGCACCAGCTTCACACTTGAATCCTTGCACAAAATTGTCTACGTTATTGAGTACCAATTGGGCCTGGTGCGAACGGCTACGAATTGAAAATTTATGGTCATAATTAAGACTGGCCGATTCAGCTGCGATATTCTCTTAGTCACAATATTCCGGTATGGAAGAAGAAAATGTAAGACGCGCGGTGAACTTTCTTATCAAAACACACATGACAATGAAATTAAATAATTTACAATTATAGACAAAACTTAAGAAGTATGACAGGGAAACAAAATACGTAACGTGTGTGAGTAACTCTAAAAAAATCAAGTAAAAAAGCACCAATTGGAAGAAATTTCCAAATTTTCAAAACATTAACAAAAATACGTTGAAAATTATTGCTACATCATAAAAATACCGAATATAGGGAGTTAATGTTATATTGGGGCCTATACGAAGACGTGGACCTGCATAGATAATTTTATGTCATAGCCAATGCATGTATGAAATTTGAAACAATTGTGATAAATAATATTGCTAAAATCATCAAAACATAAAATATGCGGAGGTACGGATTTATGGGGGCTATACGAAGACCTTGACCTGCATATGCTATTTTCTGTCATAGACTTTGGTACCAATTAGGAAATTCAAATATGAAACCTAAAACAATTCCGGTGTATAATGTCGCTAAAATCATCCAAGTATCGAATACAGGGAATTACCGTTAGGACTCAGCACGCGCCACCCATGAATGCTTACAAAATGAGGTTCCTCGCTTCATTTCTAGCACACAATGGCCACCAAAATCTCCAGTTGGCACTAAAAAATACAAAAGTTTCGATCACCACAAGCAAGCGCTACGCCGGGAATGGGCCAAAATACCGCAGAGCAACATTCGAGCAGCGTGTGACGGTTTCATTGGCCGTTTGAAGGCCATAATTCGTGCCAAAGGTGACCAATTCGAACAAATCTAAAGTTATTCTAAAATTTGAAGCTATTTCCGACAATTTTTTTTAATTTAATAAAACCTTAAAAAAATGTAAATGTTATGGAGTTTGACTTTGTTGCTTTTTTATCTCACCCTGTATAGCCCATTTCAAATACCAAAAGTCCTTCAGACCCAACACATATCTGAGTAACATTTTATCAACCTACTTCACTTCGTTCGGAAGCAAGAGTGATTTCCACAGACGGACTGACATTGTTAAGTCGACATGGAATTGTATGCTAACCACGTATATATATATATATATACCTTGTGGTGTCTAATATGTATATTTGGAAGAGTTACAAGTGGACTGACTAACATAATATACCCTTCATAGTATGGTGGAGGGTAAGAAAATCAACCTTGGCATTGGGTTTTTATTGGTAAACCTATATGGCTCAATAGCATAAGCAGGGTGTTGACATAACTTGTACATTTTACATAAAAAATTAAAATTTGATTTGCATTCCATTCCTCATTTGCATTCTTGTTTGCGTTCCTGATATGGCCCACTCTCGCATTTTATTGAAATATATGTTATAATAAGTTAATGTTAACAATCGAGGACTTATTCGAATTTTTATAAAATTTGTTGTTATTAAAATTATTTCTCTACTAGCTGGCCCGGTCCGCGTTGCCGGCCTGTAGTTTTTGTCTATTATGCATATTTGTCAAAGCATAATTATTCACAGATATGACTGATATAAGTGTTCCCGTACTGGTCGATTAAAAGTGTTTTAAAATACCTGTACCCATATTTAAGCCGTGGGCTTCAAAGGTGTGGATGTGCTATACAAATCTATTAAAAAGTATATATCAATCTTATCCCCATGTAAAGGATCAAATTAATTTTTAGTATGATAAAAATCGTAGCAAAATTTTCCAGTCAAATGAGCAGTAATTTGGAATTTGCTGGCCCGGTCCGCGTTGACGGCCTGTAGTTTTTGTCTATTAGGCATATTTGTCAAAGTATAATTATTCACAGATATGACTGATATAAGTGTTCCCGTACTGGTAGATTAAAAGTGTTTTAAAATACCTGTACCCATATTTAAACCGTGGACTTGAGGGGGTACTATTACATGGAGAAAATTCTAAAATTTGTAGATATGTTGCAATTTTTGTGTAAGATTTCCACCCAAATATACATTTTTAGCCAAATCTTTTGAAATATGGTAAAATCAGGAGGTACCTTTACATGGGCACTACTCCGAAATAGCGACCTACATTGAAAACTTTCTTCTACCGCTTATAATCCAATATGACAAACAGAGACCAAATCAAAAATATAGCAATTTTACACCCATTACCGTAAGATGGGAATTAATTTCATTTGCCATTTAAATTGTAAGTTGGTTGTAAATTGTAAGTTGTAAGTCCATATTTTTATCATAGTATAATTCAACGACGATTCAACAAATATTCTGTCCCGTGCTACTTTCTTATATTTGTAATTTGTCCATGTTTTCATAATTTATTTCATATATATATGCATCCCAAATCTATGTTCTCAATCAATATTCTCTTGGGGGTTACAAATTCAATAGAATACAAAATTTTCTTTTCTGAACACACATTAAATGTGAAAGTGGACTTGGGGATACTCCAATGTGGGGGTTCCATACCCCAGGGTAGCGTATATACAATTTTTTAGCCAAATCAATTGATAAATGTGGTCAAGACCAATATGGGCCCTACTCTGAAAATTTCAAATTTTATGCGAAGAGGTTCTCTACCCCCTTAGAAACAAAGATGCCAAATAAGGCCAAAAATGAAAAAAGTGGGCATGACCCCAAAAATAGCTTAAATCATACGATGGATATATAAATATGAAATCGGTTTGTACCCTTATCCGTGAGTTATGATCGATATCATGACCTGCAAAAGCGATTTAAGTTATCTAGAATGTTTGGGAAGAATTTCTGGAAGGATAGAAATCATTATTTTGTTCACAAAAAATCCACTGAATTCAATATGATAATACAAATTGAAAAAAATTGACAAAAGAAGAATAACAAATTGAAAAAATCTTCAACTTGTTTTCTGATTTTTTACAGCAAATGTTTAAAGATCCTTACAAAGTTTGTCAATAGAATGTACCATTATTTAAACTTTTTTTCGATTTTTCCCGATTTGTGAATTTGTGCAATGAGTTCTCTTTTTTCGTGATTTTTTAGCGATTTTGAAAAAGTAATTATCTTTTAACTTTGGTGTGACCGCGTTAAATTATTTCGATATCGTCTATTCCGTTACGCCACAACATAATTCGGTACTACACTTCCATGTAACCCGCCATCAATATCAGTTCTCAAGAAATCAAGTCAATTAAATAAATTGGTATTAATATTCGAATTCAAAAATAAATACAAAAAACACTACAAATGAACATTAGAAAAAAGTAAGTCAAAATGAAAAAAAAATCATGCACAATAAAACATTACTATTGTACATTTCAAAAGTCAAAATGAAAATGTTAATATATCACATTTTTACGCGATTTTTTTGTATATTATCCTTTTCGGACAGGAGACAATTCCGAATTTGTATGAATCGTTAGAATCAGTCCAGCGGTTCTTAAGTTATAAGCGTAGTAACTAACACAACTTTTTTTTATATATATAGATGTTGGGGAGGTAACGCACAAACTTCACTTTATTAGCCTCCGTTAATATATCCCTTCTTAAACTTCCTATAACATTAAAAACTGTGAAAAATTAAACATTTTAGCTTAAATATTTTGAGGTTTATCGGTATGTCAACCTGCTGGCGCAGAAAACTTATCGGGCATAGTTCCTTTTATTTGAACACAATTAGTGTGTAACCGGTTTCCATAATGACATATTCTATAGCTTTTTTACAACACTAAAATTTTGTGTTGGCGCTCCTTCGAATGTGCTTAGTCACTGTCACTGGCTGTTTGGCGGAACTTTATTAATTCAACATTTGCTGCAATGTGACTCACTTGAACAATGACAACAGCCATTACACACAGAGACGCATACAAATGCAACAAAAGTATGAGGGAGCTTCACTAGTTTCCCCGTTGCTACACAAACTTTTGCACAAATATTCTCACACACACACACACACTTACACAGAGCAGCCATAAGCATACAATGACAGAAAGTAGTTTACGCTCAGAAGAAGAAATATTCTTATTCATCTTGCATTACTTTTTATTAATATCACTCCATTGTTGTTGTTGTTGTTCTTGCTGCTGTTATTGTTTTGTTCATTTCATTTCTTATCCCCCTGCGTTCTTTCCATTTTCTTGTTTTGCAGATACAACATTTCTTGGACAGTGGAATCTCATGCACCCATTGAAGAGTACAAATTATCCTTCCGAAGGTTGCAGCAAGGACAAGAGGTCGATAACTCCATTGATTCGCATGGCTCCTCGTCATCGTCCTCTCTATCGTCATCGTCCTCGTTACAAATGTACGGTGGCGGCAGCATACACAATTACCGATTGGGTGGCATTAGCGGCAGCAGTAGTTTGGGCAGCATGGGCAGCGGCATGGGCATTGGCGGTGGTTATGGCAGCTATGGTGCTGGAAATGTTATACACTGGGGTCGCAATGATTGGCGTGACGTAGTCCTGCCCGCCATACCCATCTCGCATCACTACACCCAAGGGATGAGCTATATGATACGCGGTTTAGATCCAGATCAACATTACGAAGCTACAGTTCAAGCGAGGTAAATACCAGTTGTAAACTCCATGTTCAAGTATTTATATAAATTCTCAAAGTTTACGGATGTTCAGTGCCCTCTAATGTTTTCCTTCGTGGCATGCCATGGCATTGCATAGCGTGCTGTGCTATGCCACAGCAAATTACGTTGCTTTCATTTCTAGGAGTTTTTCCCCGTTTTTTGCTCGCGCGCGTTCATTGCCATTAAGGGGATCCGTTCTGATTGTTTCATCGACATGTTAGCTGCTCCGTTTGTTTTTCGGTTTGCCATTATTTCATCCCACGCCCCCTCCCATTTAGAAGTTTAAAGTTTTCAAATCTTTCACATAGTTCGCCAATGCGATAACATGCTAAGCGAAGAACCAAAGCAGAGAGCTGAGGTGTCGAATGACTGGCTATCCCACGTTGTACATTAGCGGAAACTTAAACTTAAGAGCATGGTTCGAAGGTGGCAAATTGCATGATCAAATTTTGCTTTATTAGCTAAGTTTTGAAGTTAAAAAATTAAAAGAAAATAGAAACGAAATAAATTGAGCATTTTGTGTGGAAAATTTTGTTATATTCTGTGATTGAAATATCACAATGTTGAATGTCGATATAAGCGATTGATTGATATATTTGGAAATGCTAGGAAAACTATGAGAAACCGCAATTACCAAAGAGTAATGACAAGTTTGAAAATAAAAAAAATAATATTCAAAGAATATATGGAGAAGTCTAATACATGACAACTTTGAATTTACAGGGTTGCCCATATTCGACGGACCCATGTTTTTTTTGGGCCCATTCCAATCGACGAGGCTTGTCCGCAGGCAACATTCTTTGCGTCAATTGAATTTTGTACGGGAACAAATGCAAATCAATGCGAATAATCCGTTGTAAAGTGGACCGAGCCATGCCCAACTGCTGAGAACGGCGTTTTTGGGATGTTCTTGGGGACCTCTCAACACTGGCTCGTACGGCAGAGATATTCTCGGCCGATCGCCTTGGTCGACTTTTATATGGCCTCTTCGGATTAGAAAGAGCCTTACCAGTCGAAAATTTTTCGTATAAACGCTTAATGGTGTTCTTAGAAGGCGCACTTCTCACATTTTTTAATGTTTTAAAATCACGTTGAGTTTTCACAATTGACTTCTTCTGTTGAATGTAAATTTCAACTATTTCAGAGCGCTCGCGTGGCGTGTATTGGTTCATGGTAAAAATCTGCTTGGACTGACGCTTCAAACGCGGTATGTCATTAAGCGATGTGACATCTCTCATCTCAGACATTGGACGGTGACGTTATTGGGGGAGTACCCGACGCCGTCTAATTTAGTAGGAAAATGTGTTAAAACCATTAAAATTCTGCTGAAAATGTGCACCTTCGGTTGGCCACCGAACTCAAGCGCCGGCCATGGTGATGGTGTGGGCTGCCGAATATTATCGCGAAAATATTCTGTAGGTTGTATAAAAGCCTTAGGCACGCAAACATTTTGGCCGCAGATCATGGACATTCCACACTCAGCACGCGCCACCCAAGAATGGTTACAAAGTGAGGCTCCTCGCTACAATTCCAGCGCAATTCGTTGGACTATTGTGTCTGGAAGATTTTGGAAAGCAAAGTTGGTCTGTCCGTCTGTCTGTCTATTGAAATCACGATACAGCCCACATTATGTGACGTAGAGCGCCAAAATTTAGCAGAGCTATTTGCATTGTGTCTAGGATGGTTGGTATTGATAATGAGATATATCGGTCCACGTTCTGGTGTAGTCCCCATATAACGGTACCTCCCGATATTCGGTATTTTGATGATTTATGCCACATTTTTTTCACGGATTTGTCTGGAAATTGGTATGTGTAGGTCATAACGGGTCTCTAAGCGTGTGGCAAAACATTGCATGTATAGGTCCACGTTGTGGTATAGCCCCCACATAAAGTTACGTCCCGATATTCGGTATTTTGATGGTTTTTGCCACATTTTTTCACTGATTTGTCTGAAAATTGGTATTTGTGGATCATAATGGGTCCTAGTTTAATGGTTTTTGCCACATTTCTTCTAATGTTTCTTTTACCCTAAGGTGGAGAATATTAAAAGTTTGGCCCGGCCGAAGTTAATGTTTTTTACTTCTTTTATTTAACCTCTCTTTCCTAAGCTAGTGTAGTGGGATTTCCTGTCCTTTGAATTTCGTTCGAAGATGAAAAATATTTGAACACAATATCCATGTTAATTATATCGGTGAATTAGTTAACATTTACAAAACGTGACAATATAATTTCAGGAATAGTCTTAAATAGTTTAGAACCGCCTGCAAACCGACTGATATATACTTACTTGTTAAGTATAACTTTATTCCTACTTAAGCCCCATCAAGGATATTGAATTCGTAAAAATACCAAACAATTACATTAATTTAACTATTGATTCTAATATCACTTAAATTCTCCTTTTTTCCAGAAATCGTTATGGTTGGAGTGACTACTCGCAAAGTTTTGTATTCTCAACGTCATCAAATGGTAAGTGCTTTTTCTCTATGCCATCTATCAACCCACATCTGATGTTACTACATTACAACTAACTAAATCATCAATCTAACATTCCCTTTGTTTTCGCTTGTAATTTTTCTTTCTCCTTAACCTACCAAAAGATACACTCAATCCCATCTAGCCACGCTCTCTGTTTCTCTTGCGCCACACAATAAAATTCTATTCAATTTTGGTATTTTATTTATTGCCTCTTCATTGCTAAATAATTAAAAGTAATAAACAAAAGCAAACAATAAGCCACTAACTTATTATCCTTTAATAAAACAGATTCCAAGACAGCCAAACAATAATTAAGTTTATCGATATTGCATGCAAACTAATGATAAATATAAAGCTAATACAATGAAAAATGCCAGTGAAAAGCTGACGGCCCAAGGATGGTGTGTCAGTGGCAAATGTTCTGGGGGCTATCTCTGCTGGATCAACACAGACGAGGTTTTCCCATGGCAAGCCAATTTGCTTAACATTCTGACAGCAATTTGTAATCGTTGTTGTTGGAAATCTTAAATTTGCTTTGGAGCAATTTAAATTCCCGAGAAAAATAAACAAATTAAATATTGAGAAAACAATAACACTGGAACTTAAATGGCCGTAACAATTTTCTTAAGTATTTCCTTTTTTTTATTTTTCAAATAAACACATTTGGGCATTAAGGTTAAAATGGAAATTAAAGGAAAATTAAAATTGTATCTAATTCAATGTCCAAGAAGTTGGCCATCAAGTTTTATTTCCAGGAATTCAATAAATCATAATTGTATCTAAAACTTAGAGTAATAATTTAACAGACAGACATTTGACTATATTCTTCAACGAAATCAGCGTTAACGAAATAGTCAGAAGTGTGTCTTTCCTGTATTTCTGAATTCTCCAAAAAGTCACTGGAATGGACATTTTCGTATTTTGTCTACAAAAGTTGGCAAACTATTTCACACATTGAATATTTTTGGATGGCCATCAAAAACTGCTTGGCTTTTGTAATGTCCGGTAACCCCCATTCAAATGTGCGTGAGGATCGGGCGATAATTACGACCTGCTGACAATTTTGCAGTTTTTTGGTCCATTTCAACCCCTAAATATATAACGATCATCTTCAAAAAGAGTAGGCTTCTATTCTGACCCTCATCTTATCCCCATGCAAAATTTCGTAAGGATCGGGCCATAAATGTATATGATATCCTGATATCCTAACTACTTAGTTTTGTTAGCTGTAGAAATATTACCAAATGTTTAATTCAAAATGAAAATATGCCAAAAATATGACAAAATTGAAAAAATATGAGAAAATTTTACAAAATCAATATTTTCATCTTTAGAGAGACATTTTTATGCGATTTTTCAGACGATTTTCCTTCCCAGCCAAGAGGCCATTCTGAATAAATGAGAACTGCCGAAATCAGTTCAGCCGTTCTCGACATATATGAGATCTTTCAAGCATATCTTCTTTGATAGACATATATATCGCACATAGTTTGCTATATATCCGATTTGTTGGATCTTAACATCAATGTAAAGATCAGAAGTAACCTTGTCATGGTTTTGTGATTTCGCCGGGATTTAAAATATTGGCGGTTTAATGAAAAATTTTGAATTTTTTCAAAAAAAAGGATATGGTCTATTTTACCCGCTAAATATTATCCGATAACCTAACCCCACCTTCGTGCAAAATTTCGTTAGGATCGGGCCATAATTGCGACCTGTAGCGTGATTACAAATTAACATGGACAGACGGACAGACGGACGGACGGACATACATAGCTAGATCGACTCAGCTCGGCGAGATAGGAAGATCCATATATACTTTCCTATGTGGGAAACTAATATTTCGAGGTGTTACATAATTTTTGGCCCAATCAAACTTATAATACCCCAACACATAGTGTTGTAGGGTATAATTACCTGTAATGCGAAAATTACCTGATGCGAATCATCCGGAAAAGCTAAGGCTCTAATTTTTGTATATTATTTAGAATATAACAAATTTCAATTTTCCAAAATAATTTTAACATAAGGAGTACGAGAAATTCTATTAAAATTGTTTCATTGGTAAACGGGCAAAGCTAGAATTTAAAAGCTAAAATTTAAAACGAAGAAACTGACGCTTATGACAATAACTGAGTTTAAATGACGGCAGAACGATGGCAGTAACATTCAAAGCGCTTACGTTACAAGAAGGCCATCTATGCACTCACGTGCTTGCGTGTATTTTGGAGGGCACATTAGCAACTTACAAGAGAATACAAAACACCAAAAAAGAGATCATAAAAGAGAAAACAAAAATTTTATACCTTTCAGATACATGCTATGGAGGGTATATTAAGTTTGTGATTCCGTGTGTAACTCATCGAAATAATTAATTTATACCCAACAAAGTATATATATTCTTGATCAAAGTAAAATTCTATGCCGGTTTGGCCATGTCCGTCCGTTTGTTATAATCACGACAGAGTCCAAACGGCATATGATACTAAACTGAAATTTAACAAAGAGTTGTATTTTGTCTGCAGCCAGGTGATGTTCAAACATGAGCTTTATCGATCAATGTTTTCGTATAGCCCCCTTATAGTTGTACTTTCCCATATTCGGTATTTTGACAATATTACTAATACTTTCTAAAATATTTAACATATGTTAATTAGAGTTGATATTGGGATCAACCACTTGTGGCAGAACGTTGTCTTTATAGATCCACTTTTTTGTATAGCCCCCATATAATTGTACCTCCCAATATTACGAATTTCGACGATTTTAGCCATACTTTCAAATGGAATGGAATTAAAAATTTGGCATTTAGGGTTTGTAGAACATAGTCTATATACGCCCAGGTTTTCCTATAGCCCCCATAAATAGTGTGAGATGAAAAACCTGCAACCAAATTCAAACTGCTGTCATTTCTAAGCTACTCGTCCGACAGCTGTTAAAATTAGTCCTGTGACAGCTCATTATATTGTTTACAAACGTACAAAAGCATTTTGGTGAGAATTGTCCAAAAAAATTATTCGTGATGGAATTCAAACCTGGAAAACAACAAGTGGCTATCGTTAGAGCTCTCCAACATTTAAATGTGAATAAATCTTTTGTGTCTCGTATCATCGCTCGTTACCGTGATACTGGTAGCGTAGCCCTACGTCAAGGAAGTGGACGGAAGAAAATAGCAACATAAGCAGAAATGTTTCGAAAAGTAAAGAAGCGACTTGATCGAAACCCACGTCACAGTGGCCGAAAAATGACTGGTGAGCTGAACATATCGCAATATTCCTTTCGGCAAATATTGAGAAATGAGCTCGGGGTAAAACCACTGATATTCCAAAAAATCCAAGAACTTACACCGCAACAGAGTTCTTGCTTCGCTTGGCCGAAAGTGGTGAATTGCCGAATTTGGGTTTCTCCGATTAGAAAACATTCGTTGTCCAGCAGTTTGTAAACAAGCAAAAAGATCGCGTTTGCTTGCCAAAGAGGTCAGCTGAAAATGTACACCTTCGGTTGGCCACCAGAACTTAAGCGTCGGCCATGGCGATGGTGTCGGCCGCCATAACAGCCGATGGTCGCTCTTCACTCGCATTAATCAGCGTTCGAAAATAAACAGTAAACAAACATAGTGTACTGTACCGGTACAGTCTCACTACCGGTACACTACTACAAAAAAATATTTTGTATACTCGAACACAACGATGATCGTAGTGTACCGCAGTCGGAGCGCTAAAAAATAGTAGTGTACCGCAGACGGAACACTAAAAACACGTAGTGTTCCGCAATTGGAGCATTAAAAAAATCGTAATGTACCACATGCACCACATAACAAAAAAAATTAATTCATAAAACTGATTTTAAACACTCAGCCATATTTTGTAAAATATTTAGTTTTTACACCTACATTCATTGATTTATCGGTACCGGAAAATAACATTACAACATAACCACTAAAATACCCTTTTTCGCGGAAAATTAAACATTTAAATTTTCAATGGTTATTATTATCACTATCAATTATTATCACTTCAGATTTGGTCCCTTTTTATACTTTCTACCTATTCCCATATTTTTCTACTTTCTTCAGTTTCGCAACCAATCTAAACATATATGACAAATAAAATAAATTCAGCTTTTATTTTCGTAATATTGCATTATCAAAAGCATGAAACTTCAAAATTTTTTTCACAAATCTTAAACGACACATATGTGGTACACTACCGGTACATTATTTTTTAATGTTCCGCCATGTGGTACACTACGATTTTGTTGTGCTCCGACTGCGGGACACTGCGATTTCGTAGTGCTCCGACTGCGGTAGACTACGATTCTCGTTGTGCTTCGGTACAGTATTACTAAAATATTTTTTAAGGGTTGAGCTCCGGAACGGTACATTATCTTAGTGTACCACTTCACATCAGAACGATACAGAACACTACGGTACAGTACCATATTGTTTAGTTTCGAACGCTGGAATTAATCGACCGTGGCATCAGAACAAATGCCGAATATTATCACGAAAATATTCTGGAGGGTGTATTAAATCCACCTTAAGCAAGCGCTTTGCCGGGAATGGGCCAAAATATCTCAGTTCAACATTCGGGCAACGTGTGACGGTTTCATTGGCCGTGTGAAGGCCAGAAGTCGTGCCAAAGTTGACCAATTCGAACAAATCTAAATTTATTCCAAAATTTGATGCTATTTCCGACATTTTCTGCTTTGATTCAATGAAATTTAAAAAATGTAAAAATTATGAAGTTTGACTTTTTTGCAGTTTTTTATCTCAGCCTGTGCCGCTAAATTGATGGTATTTTCAATGAAAAATATATTTGAAGAGAATATATTTAAAATATATTACATTTGTGTCACAAAGCCACCAACCAAAAAATAAATCGCTTTTAAATAGAAGCAGAAATTTTTAAAATACTGGAAATCGTCAGCTAGCTTGTGTGGGTGCTATACAAAATGGTGAATATTTTTTAATTTGTGCTACTCTATAACCC